TCCAAGCGCTCGATAAACGCTGGCTGGGGAGGAAGTCCAGTGGAGACAAGGCCCCTTCCTCTGCCCTAACCTGCAGCCATGCACAGGATGTGGGGATCCGGCAGACCCGCTAATAGAAACCAGGACCCAGGTTCCTGCTCATTAAACATTTATAGTGTGCCCTGTTGCACTCGGGGCCGAAAGGCAGTGTTTATTAGCCACTCTTGTTTGCTGTCTGTGGATAAATGTTTTCCATCTCCTGTTTTATACATGAGGACAACAAGGCCCGGAAAGCGGACATGGAGGACCCAGGATCACGTTGGAAATCGCAGCAGCAGGTCTAGGTCAGAACCAAGAATCCACATCTAGAATCAGCCGGAGCCCCGGCCATGGGGACAGACACGGTCTCCATGAAACCACTTCCTGATGGTTTCCTCCACGTTTTTTTCTGTCCAAGCCCAAATCACCCAGGCTGTTCTTAATCGTGATTATTTTTGCTCTTTAGTCCCTGAACGAAAGCTACTGAATACTGAGGCGTTGGGGTGTAGAAAACTGGAGGAAGCCAGGTCTCTAAGAAAAGAAAGAAGTGATACTTGTTACCATTTCCAGTGGGCGGGAAAGCAAAGCCATGGTGTAGGACTAAAAAGATTGGGTTTGATACTTTTCCTTCCTACTTGTAGTCACATTGTTGCTCGTTGTAAAAATCATTCTACTTGTAGAGTTAACCACCCATTAATGAGTAAGAGCTGTTCCCATAATTGGGGGGCCCTGTGGGGAAAGCAACATAGTTAGAGGTTAGAGTCAGGGACCAGCTGCCCTTGAATTCTATTTCTGATTCCTTCACCAACTTGCTGTGTGGCCTTAGGCAACTTTCCTTCATTTCTCTGGGTCTCCTTTCCCCCAATAAGAAAAATTCTCACTCACCCTTCTTGGGGGATGGGAAAAGATCAAAGAAATGTTGTTTGCAGAGTTTTTTTTAAAGATGCCTAGATGAAGTGCATTAGAAAGGCCTTGATTTAATAGGCATTAATTAATACATTCTTTGGTTATTGATAGAACTACATCTTGTAGCTTTTAATCAGCTGCATAATTGGCTATAGGAGTTGCAAAAAATCCTAAGGGAGCCAGCCGGGTCATACTGATGCTCATTGTGTGTGTCTGCTGTGTCTTTTATGTGGCCTCACAGAGAATGTTGACATCTTTGTGTGGTGGCAGGTGGTGACGTCTGCACCGATAGCCCGTGCCCAAGCCAGGGGGGCTCCCCTGAGGTGGCACAATGAGGGGCTGCTCCGAAACCGGCACGGTCAGAGCCCACCTTACCCTGTTTCCACGGGGGAGGCAGGTGGAGCGCATTCTGTCTGTTGCTTTGCTTGTCGTTTTCGCCCTGCCAGCCTGGGTAGTGTTTAGCAGGCAGAGCCTCTAAGCCGTGGGGCACAAGGGCCATGGGCAGAAACGCCCCAGATGCCATGAAGGGCACAGCTGCGCCCAGTCCTATGCAAGGGGCAGCTGCCTCCATCCCCGTCTGTGTCCCCGCCGCCTTCATATTCCTGCGTCCAGCTCCCCACCCGCTGTGGGGCTCCTGGACCCTTCTAATGTCCCAAGACAACAATCCAATCCTGAAAAACTACCCATTCCTTCACCTCACTCTCAACCCTCCTTCCTAGGATTGCATTTGCAAACCAAAAAAAAATAAGAAATTCATGCTTAAAGCAGACATCAAAGGGAATCCACTGTTCTGTGCCCTGTTACAAAAATCTCTGCTGACAGTGCCTCATCCTAGGGAGATGCCAGGGAGCCCAGACTGCAGCCTTCACCACGCAGGGCAGAGGCTGGGGCGGGGCCTTCCCATGGGCAGCTGCAGCGGCCGAGGGCACAGGGCCCACCGCGGACTGCAGGTGGTTCAGTCTAGGCCCTTTGGCAGACTCAGAGCTTTCCACACCAAGCAGCATCAGGGAGCACTTAAAGGCTTGGTTTGTGTTTTATTTGTGTACATGGAAAGGAGGAAAGAGGAGCTGCCAGGGAACCAAGTCCTCTGAGCGTTCTGCTCTGCGGCTCTCCATCAGCCGGGGAAGGCACCGGCGGAGTGTTCTCGAGCAGGCTCACACCTGGTTTTGCTTTCTTTCCTCCTTTTGGAGAGCTTGAGACCTTCCCCAGGTCCGCCCATCTCACCCCACGGGCTGCTGAGCCCAGGACAGAGCCTGCCAGCACCGGGAAGGCACCAGCCAGGACCAGCTGCACGCCATGCAGGCCCCAGTGCAAAATGGACATGCGGGGTGCCTGGATCAAAACATAAGAACGTCCAGATGGCAACAGCAAAGCACGAACCCCAGCCTGAGCTCCTTCTGAGAAGGTCACATGCCCGCGAGGCTGCTCCTGCCCAAGGCCCCACTTTGCCTGGGCAAGGGACCCCCACCGGGTCCAGCCATGTCCCACCCACATCCCTTGCTTGAGAGGAAAGGGAGAAAAAAGGGTGTGGGAGAATAATTCTTTGTACTTAAAGATTTATAGCATACAAATAATCTAATTTTATTTATTTGTTAACCCCAAAGCAGGGCTTGAGTTAGGACATCTAAGAAAAGAATTATTCCAGTTGCTGGGGAGTTATTGTCTTTTATTTGCCAGGATTTGGGAAAAGTAAGAACAATTAGGAATCTTAGTAAGATCTAAGTTCACTGAATACTTACTCTGTGCTGATACTGTGCTAAGGCTCTGTTGCTGCCAAGATCTACCTTATAGGGGGCATTATGGCCATTTTACAGATGGGGAAACTGAGGCTAATGGAAGTGCTGTAACTTGCCTTAGGTCCAGCAACCTGGAAGTAGGGGAACCTAGATTCAAACAGATGCAGTGAGCTCCAAAGCCTGCGTGCCTGACCACGTTGCTCTGTGTACCACCCCGAGTTCATAAGGCCAACATCATGGAACGTGATTTCGTGGCTGTGTTCTAAGTTCAGGTGGAATGTCTATAAATACCTAACAGCTGGGGACCAGAGAGGAACTTTGGGTGCTTTTAGTGGGGGATTTATAGTGGCTGAGCATCATATGGGAACATGAGACCCAGACCTGTGTCTCTGCGTAACAAAGGTTCCACCAACATTGAATCTGTGACCCAACACAAATCTGTCTGAGCCCACGTAGGGCTTTGTCCATTTGATTTCCTTGCAATTTCTCTCCACCCACTTGGATTTGAGCCTTAAAGAGAAAAACTAGTTTCCTTGGGCTTCAGAGCAAAATGCACTCTGAACTGGGAACAAAAGAGGTAGCTCTATAATAAGAGAAAATAGATGAGCCGGGCGCGATGGCTCACGACTGTAATCCTAGCACTCTGGGAGGCCAAGGCGGGAGGATCACTTGAAGCCAGGAGTTGGAGACCAGCCTGAGCAAGAGTGAGACCCTGTCTCTACAAAATATAGAAAAATTAGCCAGACATGGTGGTGCGCACCTGTACTCCTAGCTTCTCAGAGGCTGAGGCAGGAGGACCAACTCCTTAAGCCCAGGAGTTGGAGGCTGCAGTGAGCTGTGATAACACACTGCACTGTAGCCTGAGTGACAGAGCGAGACCCTGTCTCAAAAAAAGAGAGACAGAGAGAATAGATATCCTCCTTCCTGATATTAACACAGACAACATAATTTTCAAATTCTGGAGAGGAGGTTGTGAAGATAAAAGAATGCAGCCAATCTGGAAATAGTATTTATTCCAGCCCGGTTCAACCTGGGGTGTTGGTGCCATTGGTCAGCCACTGGCTGGCAGTGTCCTGGGCGTGGAGGGCGGGGTCGGCTGGACACAGCGAAGCGGCCACGGAATTAAGGGAGAGGAAACATGAGCAGGTCAGAGAGACACAGGAGCCTCAGGTCTGAGGTCCCTGGATCTGCAACGAGACCCTAAAAAGCAGATGCTTCGACTCTGCGGGGAGAAAAAGGCAGGACCCCAGGGAAGAATCAGCCCTTCCCAGGAGGAAAGAAAGAGCAAGATCTCTGCTTTACCCTTGCAGCAAAATAAACTCTAAGTATATGGAAGGGGATGCAGTATGCATCCGATATAAAGACAAATGCGTGTGCACATAATTTTAACCTCTCGTGACATTTCCCAGAGGGTTAAAGTAACTTTCTTTTGCATCCAATGAAAGGAGCTCCGTTCCTGGAGCAATCGGACATAGCCATGATTACTTCCAAACATCACAGTCAGCTTCTTAGTTAAGGGGCTCACTGGCAGGGAGGGTGACCACCAGGAGGACGCCTGCATTCCTCTTCTCACCCTCCCCGGCCAAGCCCGAGGGAGCCTCTGGCCATGGTGTCCTTCCGGCAGAAGAACTCTTGGTTTTCTTTGTGCTGCAGCAAGAAGAATGGGCTTTGACAGGCTCACACTGTGATCTTGAGCCGGCCTGCCCAGAAATAAGGTTCCAGCAGCCTCCGCCCTCTGCGAGGCTCTCACACATTAGTGGGCAGGAAGTGGAGTCCCGAAGGGAGGCTGGGAATTTGAACGCCTTCCCATTTCAGCACTTGCGGGGAGGAAGCCCAGCTCAGCACTGCGGGCGGATGGCTCCTGCTCCCTCCTGAGAGCTTTTCTCTCCCCTCTGCTCCAGCCGCTGCCTCTGCGCTCGCCCTCTGCCCCCCTCTTCCCCTCTCCTGCCTGGGAGGGAAAAGTCTGCCAAGCTGGGGACTGTCGTGGGCAATGCAACAAAGGCGAACCCAAGGGGAACAACTTGAAAAGAACTTGTTTTGTTCCCGTTAAGAAACCTGCAGGAAAATCCACACCCACGTTGCCTGGTTTTGAACTGGAGAGCTGCCTCTCTGCAAGAGTGAGTGTGTGTGCGTGTGTGTGTGTGTGTGTGTCAAGCAAGAGGAGGAGGAGGCGCAAACAACTGCAGGGTCTCCACTTTGATAAGGAAGGTGCCAGCTGTTGGTCTCCTGCTTCGAGAAGGAAACTACCTCCCAGCTGTCCAGAGTTAACCAGCAGAGAAGGGAAGACGCCGGCCGGGAACCAGCCGCTCCTGAATTTAAACAACGTTGTTTTCTGTCCAGATATTCCAGTGGAGACAGTTGGAAAACCTGTATTTCAGAGAAAAGAAGTTTTCCGTGGAAGTTCATGACCCACGAAGGTAAGCTGAGAAGTCCTTTTCCTTGGGGAGGGCAAGGCTTGGCGGGGCATGGGGTTTAGCTTGCTGCTGGGGGCTGTCGGGGGTGGTGGTCAGGTCGGGGCGAGGAGAGAGGCTGGTGGATCGTGGAGAGTAGAGTTCACATGAAACAGTAAAGCTTTGTTTTGGACAGAATGTGTTGATAAACGCGGTGTGTGTGTATTTGCCTTACCTGGGAAGCTTTGTGGCTCTTTGTAACAAACACCAAACTAAACCGGGCAGTGGCCTAAGTCCCCTTCCTAAGTCCCCTTAGAAAGCTTTTGCCACTGAAGAGGCTGAAGACTCCCTTGTCAGAGCTTCTAAGAGCTTTTCAGGCAGGACTGTCAACCCCAAAAGGGATCTGTCACTGAACCGGTTGCACTTAATTGTTTTGTTCCGGGAGCTGTAATTTTAGGATCGTGGGTGGATATGAAAGAAATACGGTTCTTTTTCCCTCCATCGCACACGGTACCCCAGAGAGCACCCGTGTGTTGTAAAAATCCGCACTGTCCAAATCGGAGGGCAGACAATAGGGCCCCGGGCTGGAATGCAGCAAGCCCAGCGTGGCCCGGGGCTGGGCAGCTTGTGCCCACTGTGTGTCCCTCTTTGTCTGCTGCCAGACCTAGAGTTGCAGGCAGCCCGTAAACTGCAGCAGAATTCCCTAAAACCAGGCCTGGCACCTGAGAATAAATCACTTTCCCTGGGTCTGAAAACAGATTTACGAGACGGTAGCCCTGGGGAGACAGTAAAAAAGACTTTATAGCATAGCAAAGGTGGATTTTAGGCGCCGTTGACACCCCAGCCCTGGGCTTGGAAAGAAGTCTTGGCACCATCTCCACCTTACACAAGGCTTCTGATGCCCCAGACAGGCTGCTGTGCCTCCCCTCGAGCTCTGGGCACGTGGAGAAGACATCACTCCCCCCAACCCCCGCGTCCCAGTGAGAGAGCTCGTGCCTGTGCAGTAGCCTCCGCCCCTGCAGCCAGCGATAACCTGGTAGGAGGATGTGCTGCTCTCGCCGCCGTGTTATCTGCCTGGAACAGCCACTCCCTGGGTAGCGCGAGAGCTTATCCCAGCCCGCAGTTACTGCAGGACTGGCCGCCGGAGAACGTTATCGAGTTCCCATCCTGCACTCAGCTGAAGATCGTAGCATTCGTTAAGCACAGGAATAGTTGGTCCAGGTTCTCGGGGTCCTGCAGAGGGTTCCACGGTCTGAAGCCCACCATCTGGGGGTGGGTGAGATGCCGAAAATAGTAATACTATTCCAGCCAGGAAGAAACGCACTGTTATGTTTCCAGGTGAACTGTGTTGGACCAGATTCTCAGGTGTGTGAGAGGAGGGAAAACTTAACTGTAAAAAGAGTGAAATGAATGTCGCCACCATGGGTCAGGTGCAGAAAGGGATGTTTGATGGAATAAAAATGAGTTACCAGATAATCTAAGAAACCGAGAGCAATGGACAGACCCCTGCCTGCCTGTGCTCTGTTGGGAATTTTGCAAACTCCCAGGCACCGCGGACACCTCCTTTCCCTGTGTGCATGTGTGTGTGTGTTTGTGTTCGTGTTCTCTCCGCGTCCGTCACCCCGTCAGTGAGTGATACTAAACTCCCTTCTCTTTCCCGAGGCCCAGGGATCTAGGAAAGAATCTAAGCCTCACCTGTGACTATGAAGTGAGCTTCAATGTCATGTTTGCTGAGAAGCTTCTACGCTTGGGCTCTGTGTCAGCTGAGGCAGGGCAGGGAAGGAAGTCTGAAGCAGGGTCCTCTTCCTTGAAGAACTGCTAGCATGTCTGGGGAGACAGGCGGAAGAAGGAACGTAAGATTGCAGGGTGTGCATCATGCTCAGGCCCTGCTCCAAACACAAGCACACATGCTCCCACTGGCTCCTCCCTGGGACCCCAGGAAACAGGTGCTGCTGTTAGTCCTGTTCTGCACGTGGGAAATGAAGTCACCTGCTCTAGGTTCCAAGCAGTACGTGGTAGAGGCAGGATTGGAACCCAGGAAGTCTGTCCACAATGCTCTTGCTCTTCACCTCCACACTATACGGAAGGGCCATGTGGCACAGGCCATAGATGTTGAATGACAGGGTCACCAGAGGCCTGGCTGGGCAGGAAGGAGAGGTCTGAGCTGTACCTTGAAAGGTGACTAGGATCAAAGCCAGGCAGTGGGCCCTGGGGGCGGGGCGAAGATGTCAGTGGATGTTCCTCGACTGGGCAACAGCAGATGGGAGCATGGTCATCTCTCCTCCGATGCAGCACTGCCCTGAGACCCCAAGTTATCCTAAAGACAGGCGGGGAGGTGACAGGCCCAGGGAGGCCAGAGGTGGAAACCCAAGTTGACTCCATCATTAAAGATGCCTTTTCCAGACTCCTAAGGAAAGGGAATGGCTTCAGGGCAGCCACTTGGTGCCGTGGCTGAGCCAGAGCTACAAGCTAGGAGGTCCGACTCCCACCCAGCCCTCTCCCCACAGCCTCGTGGTGCATTTGAGGTTTGACCGTGTCCACCTGTGGCGCGTTGCCTTGCTTGATTGGAGAGGGAAGGTGACTCTGAGCGAACTTCCCATGGGATGGCGTTCGGCCCCCATCACCCACCAAGCCAGGAAGGGAGTCGGAACACAGCAGTGGGGTGGGAAGCGCCAGACACAATCACGTAGTGAAGATGTCATCGGTGGAAACTGCAGCAGCAGGGACTCAGGGCAGCGGGAGCTTTCTCAGTTGATCGGTGCACGTGTGATCACCTCTGTCCCTGTTGTCGTTTTTGCTTTGGACACACCTCGGACTTTCTCCTCCTCTACATCCTGACGCAACACGTACCTTTGCTTCTGAGCTCTCCAGGCTTGGCAGATAGTCCATTTCTAAGGTTTAGGAGAAATGGGAAGGGCTCGAAGGGAAAGATGGGGAGATAAATTAATAATAGAGCAGGAGAAACACTCTCAGAGTATCTGATGCAGATGCTCCCAAGGAACTACCCAGACCTGACCGGCCACTTAGCTCCTCCCCTCTCACCATACCTGAAACGTGCAGGTGCCCGCCTCGTGCTTCTCTCCCCACCTTTGCCAAATACATTTCAAGATTCTTTTGCTCTCTAATTCAGCTTTTTTTTGGGGGGGGTGGGGAATTCATTTATTCCCAGGAGCGGCAACTGCTATGAAAATCAAACTGGGAGCTCAGATCCCTGTTTCTTTTTAAAATCTACAAAGACCCATTGGGGTTCAGGGGGACCCACATCACTTTCTTGCTTCCTCTTTTCAGTTATTTCCAACTGTGTGCTCTTTCATGAGCTGGCATTTTTTTCCTTAACTTTTGTTTAAACCAAAGGAAGGGAAAACCTGCTTAGAATCAGTATCATTACCTACACAGATTTGAATTTCTCCCTAAAGATGGGCATGGAGAAGACCCCACTGTTGAATCTTGAGTCCTCAAAGTAAGACGATGCAAAGCAGCTTTCGATTTTCTTTGAGAGAAAATTTGCCATGAAAAAAAAAATGCAACCATTCACAAGTCCAGATTACCCTGAGTTTCTTCCGAATTAGCTACCTTCATCTTGAGAACACACATTTATCCTCTGACGTTCAGGTCAAATGCTGCAAATGCCACCACACCCTCCTGTCACCTTGTCCCACACACACGCATACAAACACACGTGTGCACGAGGACGCACGTGCAAACACATATTCTCATGTTTCATTTGCAAAATAGTCTTCCTAGCCTATAAAACACACTTCCCTGAGAACACGATCTCATGATGGCTTTTTCCCCTCACTCCATTAATGTGGTGTATTACGTGGAAACCAATATTTCTCATTTTCATTTTCATTTATTTTTTTTAGAGACCAGGTCTCCCTCTGTCACCCAGGCTAGAGTGCAGTGGTGTAGTCATAGCTCACTGCAACCTGAACTCCTGGGATCAAGCAACCCTCCCGCCTCGACCCCCCCAGAGTGCTAGGACTACAGGCGTGAGCCACTGTGCCCAGGCCCATTTTCATTTTTCAAGTCTGATTGCTTCTCTCTGCTCCGTCCATACATATTCCACACTGGCTTTAAAATGTGCATACAGAGGTTGGGGAACCGGCCAGGCCCATTTCTCTCTGCCTTCCCTCCCTGCGCTCTGCATATATTTGAAATTGATAACCAAACCTTCCAGGAACATTGCGTTAGAGCAGCTTCGGAAGTCCTGGTTCCCTCGGATGCTGTGCCCTGTGGGCCATTTGAAAGGCTTTGCTCGTCTTCACCGCAGGCAGCATCCGCACGAGGAGCATCGTCAAAGGTTTTCCTGTCTCCAAAGTTTGCCCTGGCCCCGTGCCAGGAGCCGATGATCAGAAAGGACCATCCAGTGACCCAGAATGACCCGTCTTATCCCAGGCAAGGCACAGGCTTGGCCAAATTCTGAGCCCTAAGGAGTCCGTAAATCAGAAGTGGCCTTTGCCAGCCAGCGTCCCTGAGTGTGTCTGCACTTGAGTGTGTGTGCGTGTGTTTCTTCCTGCATTTGTGTGTGAGCTCACCTGTCACCTTTATGCCAGGGCTTAAAAGCCTGGACCCGGTTGGTTCTCTACAAAAGCTGCTGCCTGAGAAACGTTTTCTCTCATAAGACATGTGCTCGAACCTTGTGATTCTTGCATTCTTTCCCAGGGCTTCGGTGACCAGGAGGACATTTGGGCACAGCGGCATCGCAGTGCACACGTGGTATGCGTGTCCGGCATTGATCAAGTCCATTTGGGCCATGGCCATCAGCCAGCACCAGTTCTACCTGGACAGGAAGCAGAGCAAGGTGAGTGACCAGCCCTTGCGCCAAGCTGTGAGCTGACCCGAGACCAGCCCGGAGCCCCTGTCTACCTCTCCTAGTTCAGGGATGAGAATTGGATGGCTCGGGGAACACCGTGTCCCTTGCCCTGAGAGGCACACGGGTACAGACTTGCCTTTCAGGGATACAGGTAGGAGGAATGAGACTAGTTCTTCAAGAGGGCACAGTCCATGCAACTTGGTCCGGGGGGCTGCAGCCCAGCGCCGTCAGAGCTGCTCAAGCCGTTTATTGCAGCCAGGCAGGGCCCTTTCGAGAAATTCCCACCGCAGGAGACCCTCCCAGAAGCGTGCAAGCAGACCCTTTTTGGTGTTTAAACAGTGACATATTGTTTTCTTTTTGAAAAAAGAAAAAAAAAAAGTAACCGTTCTCAACTAATAGACACCACCTAACTGTTGAGGGTAATTGCTGTGAAAAACCCTCCAGGCTTTTCCAACTGCCAACTCTACTTTTGAAAAAAATGCAAAACTGGAAAAGTGAAAAAAAAAAAAAAAAGCAACCACCCAGTTGCCCTAAGGTAGACCTAGAGCCCGCAGCCTTGGTAAACAGGCATCGTCCTGGGGAGATGTTACCGCCCCCGGCGCGGGCACCCAGCTACGCTTTCTGGTGGGTGAGAGGATGACGTCTCCTTGGTTCACACACGGCTTATGTCAACACTCTGCCCCCTCTTCCTCCAGACGCGTCTCCCCAGCTTCCCCAGTTGGCCCCCACAAGCCGCTCCTTTTCATTACCCCCCAGGCGAAGCGCCCTGCCCAGTGGACCTGCACTTTTCCCAGGCTCCTGCGGGCGTGGGGTGGTGGGTGGCGGAGTGCGGCCACCCTTGGGCCCGGGGCCAGCAGATCCCAGCACCCGGGGAAGGTTTGCTCTATTGCGCGAGTTCTCAGAGGGAGGCGGCGGGACCTCGTGCTCAGTGTGCCCAAGAGTCATTGGATCAGTGCCCGCTTGGGTTCTTTCTTTTTCGCTATATTTTCTGGGAGTTTCTCTTTCCCTGGCAGGGGAGGGGGGTGTAGGAGAGACGAGAGAGAGAGAGAGTGGAGGTGAAGTGGGAGCTAAGAGAAAAACAGTAAGGAACGAGGACAGGAAGAAATGAAACAGTCCCTCCCGTCGTGGTTCAGGTTCGAATCGGGGCCTGTCGGGTGTGGCAATCACTCTCCTTTGTAAAATATTTTTTCGTCTACGAAGTCTTCTTCCTGAACCCCTTTTGGGTCATTTTCTGGGATAAACGCGTCCAGGGCAGAGAATAGGAACAATGAGAGTATTCCACAGCTCCCCTGGTGGCCATGGGCCTTGGCATGAAAATTCAAAGCCTGATTAGAGCAACAGAAACTGGGCCAAAGTGTTTTGAGTCATGCCTTTCACTAGGGAGGTGGGTGGGCGTCAACGTCCTGCTCTCCAGTGGCGAGAGCTGGAGGCCAGCGCGTTAGAGCATTGATTTTGTCCTCCGTGGTGGTGGGTGGTGGGGGGCAGAGGGCTCGGCGATTCCCCTGAACCCCACTACCAGTCCCCCTGAGGCCACACGGATACCACAGCGTGGAAAGGGGGAAGGAAAAATCATTTCGCCCTGAGGATAGTGCAGCATTGGCCGTGTAAGCGCCACCTCCTTGTGCTGGTCTCTTGCACAGAGCGTCTCTTGGGTATCCTGAGAGGCCTGTTCTTGGGGCTGTTGCACCCCATTCTCAGAAATGATCCCATCTGCAGTTGTGAAGCCTCATTCAACAGGCTTATAGATCAACCCACCGGCACAGCAAGTACGCCTCAAAAAGAAATTATCATAGATCACTTAGTATTCTAATAGGAAGTGTCTTTTAGGCAGCAGAACCGAACGCCACAGTGTTAGGAATATTTCAGCTATCCCTCTTGGTGACCCTGGGGACTGAGGAAAATGCCCACCCTCCCAGGGGGCGGCGGACTTTTCTTCCCCAGGAAGCCTTGCATGCGCGCAGATACTGCTCCATGGGAGCCGGTTCTTCCACCTCCCCTGACAGGTGAGGAAGAGGATCCCCCTCGTAGAAGTTGCAGGAATCTGTTTTCCAGCTCTGGGTAGGTCTTTGATGGTCTGTGCTTTGGCTTCCCCAGTTAGAGAGCAGAAAAGGAAATTCCTGACCGTAATTATTGATTGGTCAAATGGCACAGTGTTTACGAAGGTGCTTTAGGATATAATGTACCATCTTTTATTAACATCATTATTAATCTAACATACCATCCCCTGGCCAACACTTGCGTAAAGTTTAAATTCTCTGAAAGGTCCCCAAATTAAATCTGAGATGATGAAATCCCCCCTTAGGAATGAAATTACAACACGTTTCATTTCTAGAATGTTCATTAGAGAACAGGGATGTGATCCATCTCAGGTGGGCAGTGCTGCCTCCGGGTGAGTGATGCCCACAGACCTAGGACGAAAAGCATCAGGGTGTCTCTGGACAGCCGGTGTTGGCTGGCGTCCTGGCCACTGCTCACACCCTACTGGCTCGGGCCGTGCCAGCCATTCCTTTTCTCGAAGCGCTTCGGCAAAGCCCAGGCCTCCCGAGTGATGTTTATGAACCCCAGAGAGACGAGTGTGGTCTAGTGGTTTAAGTCAGCAAGGGGGAAGCTAAGAGGGCTCGTGTTCTTCCCTGGCACCAGGTTATTTTCTTCTTTCGGGATCATTGTGATAATCATTTAGGGAAACCTCCCTCTGCCTCTCCCCTTCCCTCCCTCCCTCATCTCCCCATGCACGTACGCCAAGGGACCGTCCACTGTCAGAGTGTAGGAGGCTGTGCTGGTTGGTTTCCTGCGGCTCCTTCAGAACGAGCATCCGTGCAGCACCATTTATAACGGGGTAACTTACATGTGCCGACCCCAGAGGTCACAAATGATGTCAGCTGGATCCCAGCAACCTCTGTAGTCCGGAGCCAAGGAACGTCTTGTGGACTTCGGAGGAAAATATCTGGAAGCGCAAACTGTTTGGAGTAAACATTAGACACTTTCCCTCTGAACTCAGAGTGGGGACTTCTTGAGTTGGCCCCCAATCCAAACATCGCTCCTTCTTCCTAATCGTTTTTTATTTTTCCCAATCCAGCCTGTGCTTTTTCCTTCCTTCTAGCATCAACAGCAGAGAGAAAGCGTGATGGGAGACGATTAAACCTTGCTCATGGGCTGTCCGTGCTAAAACTGAGTGACGTTTACCGGGCAAGACACTCAGAGCAAAACGTTCAGGAGTCTGGATGCTCCTGGCTTGGCCCAAAGACTTGACGTTGCCGGGACAGGCTCTGTCGGTGCTCACTTCCTCTTGGTTCTCTCTGTGCACCAAGTGTGGAGGTCGCTGTGATGTTTCCATTCCAGAAAGAATTCAGCAGCTTCCTAGAGCCTCCAACAATCTAGCCTCCCTTAGGAAGGATGTCTGTTGTTTCCATATTTTGCATCCAGGTCTTCTGCCTCTGCGATCGATGTGTGACAAGAGTTGGGGACGGGGGAGGACAGGCTTTCCGTATGATTAATGAGATCCCCAAAATACCAGGTCGGGCCATCAATCTAAGCTCATTTAGCAAATTGCTGCCAGCCCCTCATGTATACCCTGTTCCTCTTACCACGACCTTTATGTACATTCTGTAATTCAGTCCTTAGCACAGCTCCATGGCGTAGGTCTTAGGATCTCATTTTACAAACAGGAGTCTGAGGATCAGAGAGGTTAAGGATGAAGGCCCAGCAGTGATTCGCTGGGAAGAACCAAGATTCTAGTTCGGGTCTTTCTGACTTGAGAGCCTGACCCTTCACCGCTGCACTGAACGGGTCGAGGTCTTTGTAGTTATTATTACGTAACGGTTCGAGCACGGGCTCCTTGTTATTAAACACGGGTCTGGGTCAAAGAGCTGTGCAGAAAGACAGGAAGTCGTGGATTGTACTTGCTGCGCTGGCTTGTGGGGTAAAACGCGGCCAGCTGGGTGCTGTTGATAGGCGGCGTCGAAACGAAAGAAAAGGCCTTTCCTCCTCGCTGGCGCGAGCCAAGATCCTGCAACAGCCTGGCCGCCGGCTTGTTCCAGGAACAAGGAAACCTCCAGCCCGAGGGGTTGACCTGGGTCTGCGTGCGAGGGACAAAGCTGAGGTTAGAGAGGAGGCGCACTTGAGGGAAGGCCCACGGGGTGCGGAGGAGGAGGAGGAGGAGGAGGAAGATGGTTCACAGCAGGCGAACAAAACAGGCACCGCGTCTGGGTGTTTCCTGCGGCCCCCAGACTTTACCTCGTGTTAACAGGAGGAAAGTGTGTGGCGTCCGGAAGTTGTTGTTGTTCCCCGTGTGACAGCAACATCGAGGGCACAGGAAGGGCAGAGCCGCAGGAGTCAGATGGCCCCTTCGGGACACCCGAGGGCACCTGGGCACAGGAGGGACACCGTGAACAGGGGAAGCTGGAGCAGTGGGCCCACGCCCCTCTGCAGCCACCATGGTCCCCCCCACCAAGGGCTCCTTTCTCCCATGCTCGGGAAAGACCTTGTCCCGCCCAGGCCAGACGTGAACCGCGCATTAAGTGACAGGAAAGCTCAGTGGTGACCCTCGCCCAGTTCCATGCTTGCGTGCTACAGCCAGTGGCCACAGACAGAAGGACAGATGAGCAAGTGGTGCGTTATGCCACCGTTTACAGTCGTTTCCATGGAGTTCGCAGGGCAGGCAAAGCCTGTTGCCTTAAGCACTCGCGCAAAACATTGATTTCCTGAAGAAGGAAAAAAAGTAACTATGTTGAACAGTCGTGTAGGAAATGCAAACACGTCCTCTCTTACTGAAGGTGGTAACTGAAGCAGACAGCTTTGCTAAAAACCGTTACCGTTAGGGACGTAAATGTGAGTAGAGAACCCTTTTCTAACTCTTCTAACCCGCCGTGATTATTGCCACATTGGGCCCGTTTGTGGACTGAACGGAGCAGCGTTTGAACCATAATACAAAGACTTTGGCCCGTCCACTTAGGTGGCACCTCATCAGACCTGAGTATCCAAACAGGCAGTCGTCCAGAGCTTCTGTCCACGCGCCCTGTGATTGCAGGTCTAGGGCCTGGTCACCTGTCCGTCAGCTACACGTTTCATGGCAACACGGCTCATCGTTTAAGTTTTTTTTTTTTTTTCTGAAACAGAGTCTTGCTCTGTCACCCAGGCTGGAGTGCAGCAGCAGCATAACTCACTGCAGCCCCAAACTCCTGGGCTCAAGCCATCCTCCTGCCTCAGCCTCCCTGGTAGCTGGGACTACAGGCGCACACCACCACGCCTGGCTAATTTTTCTATTTTTTGTAGAGATGGGGTCTCGCTCTTGCTCAGACTGGTCTTGAACTCCTGGCCTCAAGCGATCTTCCCGCCTTGGCCAGGATCCCAGAGTGCTAGGATTACAGGCGTGAGCCACCGCACCCAGCCTACTTCAAGGGGTTTAAATCACTTCCAAATTTATTGGAACTTCGTAAATTTGTTTAATATATCTCTTACATCACTTGGAAAGCTGAAAATTATTTTTTCCTCTTTGTTTAAGCACAAAATAGTGATAATCACAACTGCTTATTGGGAGCTGTGTGCCAGGCAGACACAGCTGGGTCCCTCCTTTGATCCAGACCTGGGTGGCAGGTGACAGCAGGAATAATGAGGCTCAGTGAGACTCAGTCACTTTCCCCGGATCAGGACATTCTTGTAAGCGCTACACGGCATAACCCACAGAATCCCAAGTTCAGCACGTCCCTTACTGGTGCAGCTCCTGAGCCACCTCTGTCCCTTCAGAGTGTCTCAGTGATGACAATTGGGCCAAGGCACACAAACAGAAAAATGCTACCCGTCGAGGAGATAGGTCCGTTTGCCCAATGTCAGGACAACAGGTGGGAGCAGGCGGGTGGTGACCGTTCCCTCTGTGACCCGCCTGCCTCTCCCTTCCAGTCCAAGATCCACGCGGCGCGAAGTCTGAGCGAGATCGCCATCGACCTGACCGAGACGGGGACGCTGAAGACCTCAAAGCTGGCCAACATGGGCAGCAAAGGGAAGATCATCAGTGGCAGCAGTGGCAGCCTGCTGTCCTCAGGTAGGTGGCCGGGCCTCCTGGAGCGCGGCTGGGACCCCGGGCAGACCCCGGGAAGGTGGGGACGGCCATGGCACGGTGCGGGCAGCCACTGGGCACCCTCACCAGGGGCTGGTTCCAGTTTCCAGACCGAGCTTGGGAGCCAAATGGAAATCTGAAAAAACCACCCCAAAGTATTAAAGGGTGGAGGACGAAAAAAAAAAAATCAGTGGAACCACACAGTGTGGGAAGGACTGTTGGTTACACTTAAGTGTCTTCACGTGCGCCCCAGGGCCTGTCAGAATGCCGGTGGCTGGCTGTCAGGAACGTCAGGTCCAGGGGCAGAAAGCGGGGTCCACATGTGCGTCCTTAAAGGGGAGATTATACCAAGGAAGGGCTGATGATCAGGGTCTGGTGCCGAGAGATGCTACATTCTATTCCCAGGTGGACTTCTTGGGACCTTAGAAGGTACAGAACGCTCTCGATCGTGTAGGAGAGGAGAGTCTTGCAGTCACAGGGGTGTCTCGATTAAGCACCTTTTGAAACCGCAAGTTAGGAGATCTGGTTCCGTCGCCTATTTCTGCCAGCCTTGGGAAAGTCATTTTGTCATTCAGTGTCGGGAGGGACAGAAGAGCTCCGGGGCCTCAGATCTGGCTGACTTCAAGAGGGGGTTGGGGGTGCCATTCCCTGAAACGGCAGGAAGAGGGAGCAGGTTTGAGCAGGGCCGGGAGAGAGGCAGGTGGCCGTGGTTTGAAAATGTTAGGAAGGTGCAACAGGGGGAAAGCGTCCTTGATTTGGGAGCTGTGCCACCGTGCCTCTCAGTGAAGCAAATAAGGCAAGAAGTCTCTACCCTACCCTACCTTACCTACCTACCTACCTACCTACCTTACCTTCCCGGGTAATGTATATAACTATACATAGTGACTGCAAACAGCAGCAAGTAGTCAAAGAGGGAAAGACAGGAGAGGAAGAGGAGCTGAGGTTGTCTAGTTGGCCTCTGGGCTGGAGTCCAGTCATAGTCAGGAAGAAGTTTAAAGGACCAGGGAGAGGACAGACGCCTTTCCTGGACCGGGAGGTGGGTTTCCTGGGGGTGGGCGGGTGGAGCGTAAGTCCAGCGCCCACTGTGAGGGCCCTAGCAGCGTGTTCACGAGGTCACGTGCTTTTGTAAAATCTGCAAATGTAATAGGTTTTGTATTGTTTTTCTTAAATACAGCCACCAAAATTATAAAAGCTTCAGGCCCCAGAAAACCTGGATCTGCCTCTGTGAGGTCACCATAGGGCCCGCTCTACACCCTTCCCTGCCTTGGATTCTTCCAAAATGTTTCATCCAAAAAACTGGGCCAAATGCTCGTTCTTTATGGGGCTTGGGAGTGTGCAAGGAAGGCTGTGGGGAATATTATCTTCCTGTATCAAAAAGAATGAAATTGAAAATCTAAGACCTCCTGCCTTGAATTACAGCCACTCCCAGTCTCCTGCTGAACAGGGGCAGGGCCAAAGCCAATACCTTGGTTGTCTTTTAGACACGACATACCATAGGTTCTCACTCCGCCACCTGCTTTCCTCCTTGTCACGGAGAACCCGGAGACTCCAGCTTGGGTTCTTCACTCTCAGTGGCTCTCAGACTTGGGTGTGCATCGAGCCACTCAGAGGACATGTTCAAACACAGACTGCTGGGCACCCATCTAAGTCTCTGATTCTGTCAACCTGGGGAGAACCCAAGAATCTGCATCTCTAACTAGTTCCTAAGTAACACTGATGCCACCGGTCCAGGGACGTGACTGTGACTTTGAGAGCCACTCTTCTTGCTAAAGAAGAGATCGAAGCTTGAGGTGGGCGTGTGGCTGAGAATCACAGAACCCAGGTATTCCCACTTTTAAGCCTGTATCCTGGTCCATCCACATGGGCCCTCTTATATCTGGCAGCCTCCAGGGCACCCAGGCAGTATCCTAACAGCAGCTATAGATGAGTTTATGGACCAGACCCCCAGCCTCCCGAGATGAAACTGACATCACATACCCCTCGGAAATGAAATCCAAGCATCTTTAAGACTAGAAAGCAACACACCTCTCTTCCTTCCCATGCGTTGACATTAATGTTCAATCTGATGGGCTAGAAGAAAAATTGCAAGAAAATCTTCTAGCTAAATCCACCCCTACACCTAACATATAAACATCGTTATCCCAAGATATTAAAGTGATTTTTAAGCGTTTGATAATTCAGCGATGGGGCCCCAGGCTAAGATGTTTAGGAGCTGACAGAAGCGGCAAAGGCCACTTGCAGGGTGGCTCCAGCTGTCAGCTTCAACGCCTTCAGCCCTCTCTGCCGCTGCACGGCTAAGCAAGAAGGAACGTGGGCTGCGAAGGCCCCGTGACTAAGCCAGAGAGCGCGGCCAACTCTTCCCGGCCCTGCAAGCTCGAGCCTGAAACACGTCCTTTCATGCCAAGGCCGAGGCTCCTCGGGGCCACCCCACACCCACCTCCCGTGACTTAGGAGAGACAGGACACCCCATCCCATCCGTTGAACAAAGGGAATTTCTAGGCTCCACAGATCTTGTCCTTCCTTCCTCTAAGACTGTCGACGGCCGCCGCTCTGTTGTTCCTTGTACCGGGAGGAGGAAGCCTTCACCTGGGCGAAGCCCTGGGTAGTCCCCTCTGGAAGAGACTGATGCCGTGTCCCCCACACTAGGGGACTCTAGCCCTGGGCCTGCGAATCGAGGCAGCTGGCCAGTCTCCCACCCTGTCCTCTGTCCTTCCCATCGTCTTGCCTCTAATGTGAGGCAACGACACACGAGGACAAGCCCCCACGCTCGCTATGCCACGACAGCCCTGATTTTTAACACTCTGCTTGTCGCACCTGCCAGACCATATATTCTAACTTTCATTCAGAAAATCTCATAAGTATAAACCAGCATCCAATTTGGTAAACTCTTTTTTTCTCTGTCACCTCCTTACGAGACGGTGTCTAATAAACATTTCTTATGTGGAGAAACTGGTCACCATTTGAAAATCCTCTTTTCCAGCCCAGTGCCTGACTCCCTGCAGGCGCTCAGTACGCAGGTGTCGAAACGAAATGTTGATGAAGAACAATAGTCAGACTCCTGCTCGAGCTGCACTTTAAGCATCTTTTATGTTCCCAGAGCGTGTGGTATCTTGCACCCTGCTAAGAGCTCTCCTGTGACCTGCCACCAACATTTTCCTCAAGTTGTGCTGCAGCCCTGCGTCGTGCTGGCATGAGGCCTTTAAAGGTTAATCGTGTCAGATCAGGCTCCTAGGACAGGGTTGATCCTTGTCATCTTTCGTCACCCTTCAACCCTCCTCTGTGCCAGATCGTGGTGCATCTGAGCCTTGTAACAATGTTTTTGTGGTGGTAACATTCTTTCTAGCTCCCAAATTCTGCTAGGAACTATATACTGGGTACTATATACAACATTTTAAAACTTATAGCCCCTCTGTGCACAGAGTTTGCTTACTGTTTATTGATGTTAAAACAGAGATAAAGTATGTCCGAGCTATTAGTAACTTTGAAAGTAATTTTCCTATGTAGGGGCACACAATTACCTTTAAGATGACCAAAGTGTAGTACTTGGTATCGGAGGCCTCAGATGCTAAAGAAATGAAGAAATGTCATAGATATCTCTTAAAGAAGTCAGAAATCCATATTTACCAATGCTCTGGGCCATGGGCTAGCATTTCCAAAAGAAAAGGTCAAAATAGTTGAAATGATTTTTTAAGGCGTGGGGCCAGGACACCCTGAATCCTGTAGTAGTGACACATAGAGCTGTCTCCTGGGTGACCTGTAGCCCTGTATCCTCATGGGGACGCTGAGAGGTGGGTATCGTACTGACTCAAAGCGTCAGCCTGTGTTGGAATAAAAGGCATCAGACTCTCACCTCCTGACTGGCATTCAGGTCTGAGGAAGGTGATGGAAGCCCTGTCCTAAATCTGTTTGCGGAGGGGCTCAGCAAATCTGATAGCTGACTGCTCGGGTAGACAGGGCACATTTTATTCACGCTGCCCTGTGAGAGACTCACTATTTCCTCCACATTTATAGCTGCCTCTCTCTAATTGCTTTTGCTCATAAGTAGTTCAGGCAACAAATTTTCAGAAGGTTCAGATACAGTTGAGAGGATAACTATGCATTCAAGCCATTTGCTCAAGATGTTTTCAGAGTTTAAAAAAAAAATCCAAATCCATTTTGTGGGAACTTCAAAGAGTTTATTCCTCCCTTCCTTTCACCCTTTACTTGAAATCCCAGAAAAGATTGGATGGGAGAAGAAAGGGAATAAAAACAACAGAACCCACAACTGTGTTTGTCACTGTAGCTGAAGACCGTGGTCTTTGCATAGCTTGTCTCAAAGTGCGAGAGTCTAAGATGTGTTGTAAGCACCGTTTTAGGGATTTGCCATCACGGAACAATTGATTTTGGCGGGCATTAGGGGCCGAGGGAGACGTTGTTTTTGCTTTCAGGCTGTGTAAAGAAAATAGTACAAACCTGCTAAGGAAATACTCCAAGTTCTGTAGGGCAGTGTGGCTTGTTGCGTTAACCACCCAAACAAAACTTGTCACTGTGCGTCCTGTCTTAAAGGGAACTCTGAGCGCACCGTTGGCGACTTGAGTGGAAGTGTGGAGGCGTAAGCTGCCCATGCTCTACCCAACTAAAGGACACGTTGTGTTTTGAAATAGGAATCTGGCCGTGTGATTAACGAGAGGGCTGTTGAGTCATCTTCAGTGTGATCAGGATTGCGAAGAATCTGGTGCTAGATCTTTGGCTTAAAAAAAAAAAATACTAGCAAAAATAAAACCAGACCTGCAGTCTGCCCTTGTCCTCTTGGCTCTGACGCTTTCCATGCTGGGACAAAACAGGCTGGGCCAAAGGCATGAGCCCAAGCGTCGCCTGGGATCCGACCACGTTCGTTCCTCGGTGGCTCGCACGCTCCCATTCTCTGGGTTCTAGCCCTTCCTCCCATTGTTAGGGAGTTTATTAATAACTAACGTAACAATGAGGGTGCCAGCTATCTGACATCT